AATCTCTTCACCATCCATCCTGATGCTGCCAATTGGTCCAGTGGTGAGAATCTTTGTCTTCTTGACATTGAGCCTCAATCCATACTGAAGCCTGCAGTCCTTGACCCTCTGCAGCAAGCGCTTCAGGTCTTTCTCAGTTTCAGCGAGCAGGGTTGTGTCATCTGCATAATGCAGATTGTTGATAGATCTTCCATCTTCCACCAATCCTGATGCCACACTTCTCCTCATAGAGCCCAGCCTCTCGGATAATCTGTTCTGAATACAGGTTGAAAAGATATGGAGATAGGACACATCCCTGGTGTACGCCTTTCCCAATTTTGAACCATGCAGTGTTTCCTTGCTCTGTTCTGACGATAGGTTTCTCATTAGCACGATAATGAGTTCTGAGATTCCCATTCTTCTCAGAGTCAGTCACAGTTTGTTATGATCTACACAGTCAAACGCCTTTGCATAATCAATGAAACACAGATAGACGTTCTTCTGGTATTCTCTGCTTTCAGCTAAGATGCATCTAACATCAGCGACAATATCCCTAGTTAGGGGGTGATAAAAACAATCGCGACTCGGTTTGATTCATTTAACCCACGTTTTCTTCCCTGAAATGCTGAACCCTTATCTCCTGGCCTCTATGCCTTCGCGGCCTAACAGTTTCCTTCACTCCCCCTCCTGCCTTCCCGAAGCCCAGGTTTGGATCCAGATGCGGCATCTTCTCTTTCTTGCCATCTAGCGGCAGTGTGAGCACATGACAGGGTCACTGGGGCTCAGTGCTTTATGAGGCTGGCTCATGCAGGGGTTTGAAAAATTCCCTCTGACTCTGGGAGTCTTTTTAACTAGCTCCCTATGTGATCACGTTTAGCCTAATTCCATTGATTACTTTGAATAGGAAAAAAAAAAGTCCCACTTTTCAGCCTCTAACTTAGAAGATCTGGTGTTTTGGAGCATCAATTCAGGATTAGGGGAGCTCTTGTGGCCTCGTGGTAAGAATCTGTGCTGCAATCTCAAAAGCACAAGGTTTGAATCCACCAACTGCTCCGCAGGGGAAGGTTCGGCAATTTCTTCTTGTGCAGTTACTGCTTTTGAAAACCTGGGCGAGGGTCAGCTGTGGGTCGGACAGCATACAACCATAATGTAATCTTGGAAATAGAAATGAACCTGGAGAAGACATTATAGAATTTTGTACCACCAACTACTTCCTCATTATGAATATCTTTTTAAAAAAGATACGAGACGCAACTAAGTATAGATTTTAAACAACAGGTCAAAACCTTGCCCTAGTTGTTGAAGTTGTTGCATGGAAGTTGGAAACAAGGCATTGCTGAACCTTCAGGGGGTTTTTAGAGGCATTAAATCGCATGGAAGGAGACTGTCCATCATTTCCCCGTGGATTGACAGCATATAGGCCAGCAGAGCTCCTTTCTCTGATCTTTAGGATGTTGTTGTTATGTGCCGTCGAGTCACCTGCGACTCCAAGTGACCCTATGTATAACAGCTCTAAACTCTGCCCTATCCTGTGCCAATCTCACCCTCTCCAACACACCTACCCCCATTACCATAAGGTAAATAAATTGTGACATATTCATACAAAATTTAAAAATACTATTTTATATTTCTATATACTACTATGGAAAATAGAAACTAAAAACAAGTATTTTATGGTTTTATTTTGTATTTAATTTGAACCAACAACCAGAACTGACTGTATAAACGAGTTGTCGTTATGTGCTGTTGAGTTGATTACGACTCATAGCGACCCTATGCACAATGGTCTGAACCCAGCTCTATCCTGAGCCAATCTCACTGTCTCTGACAAACCTACCCTCATTATCCCATTTATTGTGCCAGTCCATCTCATCCAGGGTCTTCCTCTCCTGTACTGTCCCTCAACCCTTCCAAGCATGATATCCTTCTCCAAAGACTGGTCCCTCCTGGCCACATGCCCAGAGTATATGAGATAGTCTCAAAATCCTTCCCTCCAGGGAGCAGCTTGGTTTAACCCTGGCAAGAAGCTGTGCTGCAATCCTGAAGGCACATAGTTCGAGGCCACCAACTGCTCCACGGGAGAAAGATGAGAAATTTCCTCTCCTCCTGTGTGATTACTTGTCTCTGAAAACCTGCCAGAGAGTCAGTGATGTGTCAGTTCTGACTTGATGGTTCATGATAATAACAGGACAGATCTGTTAGTTCTCTTGGCAGTCTTCTCCAGCACCACAACTCAAAGGTACCAATTCTCCTGTCATCCTTGGTTATTATCCAGCTCTCTGATGCATAGCAAGTAATTGCAAAGATCATGGCCTAGATCAGGTGCACCTTAGTCTCTAGACTGACATCCTTGCTCTTCAGCACTCTGGAGAGGTCCCTGACATCAGATTTTCCTACAGCAATTAATCTTTTGATTTCCTGACTGCTGATACCAAGAATGTTGATTGTGGAACCTAGAGTAAGTATCATATAATTCATGCCTTGGTAAATGGGCTTAAGCATGGATCAATGTAACTGAATGTGTAAAAGTGTGTATGTATATATACAGATATGTAGGTATTTTTCTCCCATTCAGATATCTGCATTTTGAAAGAGGAAATTAAACATCTGAACCTCAAAACTCTTATGTTGCTGCCTGCTCCTCACCCTCCTCCACACTTTTTCCTCCAAAAACCTCCCTTACACAGGCTCTGGATGCCATCCCTCTTTCCCTAATAGTTTTATTATGAACCTGAAGAAACAATTGGTCCCAATGGCAGCCAGCAGTAATGGCTCAATACTCAACATTAACTAAGACAAAACAGGAAAGCATTGCCTTTGGGGAGACATTCTTCAAAATTTGTGCTGACCAATTACATTTCTATTAATGTCCCCTAAAGGCAATGATTTCTGTTTTGTTTTAGTTAGGGCCAGTCAACTCATTGAACAGAGTCATTCTTCAAATGTTTATTTAAAACTTACGTGCCTGTGCACTAGGCATCTGGCAGACAGAGAGAAGTTTTATTTTTGGCTAAAAAATCCCCAATATAGTTGCTATCCAGTCAATGCCAACTCAATCCCATTGTGTCAGAGGAAGATTGTGCTTCCTCTTAATAAAAAGAATGTAGGCAGCGTGAGGATGACCGAGCCTGACTTCTACTAACTCCACAAAGGGCAGCTGTCCCCATCAATAATATCTACATGACAAACTTAATTTCTACAAGGTCAGACATGGTCTCCCACATTTCTGTACCTACTTCTACTAATTACAACACTAATCTTATTATGTAACTGGGTCCAAAATCCATTGTAATGACTACACAGATTTTAT